TATATATATATATATAATTTGATATTAGTTTTAGCAGTTTGAGTGCCAAGCATTAGAAAGAAATGGTGTACGAATGTATAAATCTTTGCTATGCAGGCTTATCACTTAATATATTTAGTTTTTTTCAGGATTTTGTTACTAACTAGAACTTATTTATTTTTATTTTATTTATTTATTTATTTATTTGATTTGTCAATCGCTTACAAGATACTTAAGGTGATACAGTATAGACAGCTTAGAATTCTCCATTTTTACTTGATTTTACTATTTTTAGACAATTGTTGGTCAAAAGCACTTTGCATCTAAGACTGACATCATTACAATTAGTGGAGAAACATGAGGTAACACTATACCAGAGGTGGGATTCTACTGGTTCTGTCCACTTCTGTAGAACCAGTTGCTCTGAATATCAGCAAACAGAGAGTATACATAGAACCAGTTCTGTGTTTTCTGCTGTTTTGGCCCACCCACCCGCCCGGGCTCTTACCTGACCTCTATTTCCTGTGTTTTCAGCTGCAGCTGCTTTGCGCGACATAGCTGCAGTTGAAAAAGCAGGAAAAGGGGGCTTTTCCAACCACTGCACACGTACACGCAGCATTGCTCAGCTGTCCGGGCAACTCAGCAGGTTGTAAATTGCACTCACACAACTCGCGGGCACACATGTGCGCACGACGCAGAGTGACAGAACTGGTAGTTATACCAGTCGGATCCCATCCCTGCACTATACCAATAGATGAAAGAGCTGAAGAACCAAGCTGAGGATAACCCTGCTGGAGAAAATCAATGAGATATTTAAGAATCAACACTGACTTGATGGCACATAATCATTAATCATGTTGATATCAGATTGCTTGAACAATTATATTCTTCTTTTGAAATACTATTTATCTTTTAATTTTCTTCTCTCTATTCAGACCTAGAATATCTCATGACAGCTAATGACTGTTCAGGGGAGCAGGTTGATAAGCAGTCTTCTGCCTAGGAATCTTTTAATTGATTTGAGCCCATTCATAGATAATTTGCATCTAAATGTTTAGAAACACAGCAAAAATTATCTTTTGTATTGAGTTGACAGTGTAATAAGATATAGAGATAATGTAATTAGATAGATGATAGATAGATAGATAGATAGATAGATAGATAGATAGATAGATAGATAGATAGAGATAGAGATAGAGATAGAGATAGAGATAGAGATAGAGATAGAGATAGAGATAGAGAAAAGTGGCATTTCTGGCCAAACATAGCGTGCTGCTTTATCAAGGTGGTAAGCACATCATTAAATGAATACTCATGGAATTCATTCATTTTCAGGACTGTGAGACTGGGTATTTGTTCCTAGGAATTCTAAATTATAAATATGCTTATTTACATTTTAGCATTGAAAATATATTAACAATGTAGAACAGCTGGAAATAGGAATCAGAATGTAGTATTTCTTTTTAAAAAAATAGAATTAAGTAGGAATTCCAATTATTAGGAGAATCTGTGTACATTAAGTACTCAGCTGACATTGTTAGAACAGTTGCTCAGCTTTTAAATATATCTATACAAATATATTCTATACAAACTCGGTTTTGTTTTATAGAGATTTTTTAAATATATGTGGAATTAAATAATTTGCTAGTTAAAAAGGTGCATCTTTTCAGTGTTATTTATGATAGGGATGCTGTATGTTCAAATAAAAGTGTCTGTAACATTTTAAGTTCATTTGACATGAAATTTAGAAACACAAACTTCTGCAAACAATAAAATGATGGCTACTGAGTTGTGTTTTGCAAACAGTGATTAAATAGGCAGGCAGTAGTTGTGGTTAAACATTAGGGGCTGTGGTTTCAACGTCTGGCAGGATTTGTTTTCTTTTGCAGTAGTAAGCATTTTATTGTATTATTTTTAAAACTTGGAGCAGAATATCTTGAAAGGTCTCTAAAAGGACATGTTTCTTTTACAAAACAGGTTTATTGAAAATGTAATTGAGTTCTGATAAAAATATGAATGTCTGTGGGAATATGGTGCTGATGTACAGTACAGGTAGTCCTTGACTTACAATCACAACTGGGTCCAAAATTTCTGTTGCTAAGGAGAAATTTTACAACTTTTTTTGCCACAATTGTTCAGTGAATCATTGCACTTGTTAAAGTTGTTAAGTGAATCTGACTTCCCCATTGACATTGGTTGTTGGAAGATCGCAAAAGGTGATCGTGTGACTCTGGGACATTGCAACCATCATAATTATGAGCCCATTGCAAAGCCTCCAAATCTTGATCACATGACCATGGAGATACTGCAATGGTTGTAAGGGTGAAAAACGGCCATAAGTCACTTTTTTCAGTGCCATTGTAACTTCATATGGTCATTAAATGTATGGCTCTAAGTCGAGGACTACTTGCAAAGAGAATTTGATGTAATTAATCAAATGCAATGAATTAATTTTAAAAACATGTATGGCAACCCATTTTATACATCAGGGGTGTCAAACTCAAGGCCCCTGCCTTCCCATTTCCAAGGCCATTGGGGATCGGGGGCAAGAGGAGCAGTCTTTGAGGGAGGGGACTGAGTGTGCAGGGGCTGCAGGGTGGTGGTGACTGGCTAGACTGTCTCACAGCAACCCTTCTTTATACTTCTGGTGGATCAGGCCATGGAACCCTACCTGGTCCCATCCCCTTCTGCCGGAGACTCCTCTATCCCCCCCACCCTGCCTAATCCCCCATGAGCAATGTTGGGCCGTGCCCAAGCTAGCCATGCCCACCCATTGGGCCATGCCCAGCTGGCCACACCCACCCGGGCAGCTACAATGCTGATGCGTCTCTCAATGAAATTAAGTTTGACACCCCTGTTGTACATCAAAGCCCTGGTGACTCCCAAAGAGTAAGAAAACACAACAGAACAGTAAAGGCAATATACAAAAAAGAAAAAAAATGATAGTACACCAAACAACATTCCCCAACCAAAACATAATTGTAGATGTTTGGCTCCAGCCTTACCTGATATCATTGACTGAGGGAAAAGATCTTCTGGAAAGCTAGAAGAGTTGGAGTTTCCTTGATCCTGGGAGAGAATAGTATTCCACAGCCCAGAAGACCATACAGCCTAGATCCTACTAGTTGACAACATCTAAGGGAGAGACCTGGAGCAGGGCTGCTCTATCCAGCCTGGTAGAATAGACAAATATCCTTAGGGAAAGATCTGTGCCATGCAGGTCTTTAAGAGTAATAACCAGCACCCTCAACTGCACCCAGAAAGAAACTGGGAGCCTGTGCAGCTCCTACAACAATAATGTACTATGGGAAAACATGTACATGCTGCATCCTGGACCACTTGTAATTTCTGGATGTTCTTTAAAAATGGTCCTATGTGCAGTATATTACAATTATTTAACCAGGAAATAGCATAAGACATAAGTGAGTGTGAGCAAGGTCTCCTGGTCCAGTGATTCGGCAGAACCTGGAACAAAAACCTCTGCAAAAGTTCCTGGCTGGATGTCATCTACTTTTCTAAATAGAAATAGAGAGTAGAAATAGGAATAGGATTAGGATTATTGTCACTTTGAACGTACACTAATCGGCATACATTAAAATGAAATTTCATTGCATAGAGAGTGACCACTCAAAGGGTCACCACCTCCAATATAAACCACATAACCATGATAAAATAACTAAATAGATAGATAAATACAAGATTATGCATATACTCAATATATACCCACCCTGACATACCCACACAACCATGTGAATAATGCATCTGAATTATACTGAATATCTTTTTTAAGAAAAAACGATTCCCTGACCATTTGCCTTGTAAAGAAGTCTGAAATCTGATAATCAATCACTCCTGTTACAGTCATAGAAATAATAAAGTTTGTAAAGATTTTCTGCTAGTTCTTTGACTAGTACTGTAGAGTCCAGCTTCTGTTGCTCTAATGAGCAACTTGTCTCATTAAATAGACCAAAGGCAATGTACAATGAGAGGGACTTTTGTTTAATCATTTTTAACACTTGCATGTTACATTTACGAATATTATATTATATTGCTGTATAAATGAACAAGATACTGGCTTGTAGGTTTTTTTTTTTTTAAATGCTCCAAAGGAAGAATGTCTAACAAAAACAGTACTGAAAAAGTGATGGAATGAGTCACCACTTTTTGGAGAGACTTCTCCAT